AAAAAAAAGCTATTAGTTTACTAATATAGTTAACGTAATAATAAAGTATATTAACTTAAATTTTAAATTATATATACTATCTATAAACTATAAATTTAAATAAAACTAATTTTAAAAGTAGATTTAACTATTTATTCTTAAAATATTTAAAGAGTATTAATAAAGTACTTAAAAATTATAGTACTAATAAAACTAGAATTAGTAAGTTTTTTTAAAATTTTATTTTATAATATTAAAGTTTATACTATATAAAGCTTATATATTAAGTTTTATTAGTATAGCTCTAATAGTTATAAAGTTAGAGAGGGGTAAGATTTTCTAGAAACTGTGCGCCAGGTGGGGACGTGCGCCAGCTAATGAAACACGGTAAGCGATCACGAAATATTGCGACACCTGGTGCCCACAACGTGCCCGATGACTCAACCAAAGCGTGATAGCGGAAACATCTTCACAAGAAAGAATTGCCCTATTCCTTCTTGCTCTTCAATGTATATTTTGAATAGCCGGTAGCATCACCATGTCGCACTGCGATGAATCCATTGGCCCTCGCGTCGACCCGTCATGCCGCTCCTTTGACTTTACCCTCTACTTCCAGGACCTCTTCTTTTCCACAACACCAAACGCCATCCTCCTCGTCCTCCTGGTCTTACCAGTCGCACGTCTCCTCAGAGCCCAGGATATCGTTAGACGCACAAAATCAGTCGCTGTCAAGGCTGTAAGTAAACAGGCACATCCCGCCTCATCCTGCTCCTATACCCCGAGACTAATCATCTTCGAAAACCCAGGCTCTGTATGTTGTGCTATTTACCTGTCAGACAATCTTTCTGGCCCTCAGATGCCGGCAGCCGCAGCTGCACACCCCTGCCTCTGTCGCAACAGATGTGCTCGCCATCGTGGCCACCCTCGCCGCCGCCAGCCTCTCATGGCTCCAGCACCACCGCTCCGAGCAGCCATCGGCACCTCTCGCCATCTTCTTTGCCCTCATCTCCCTGCTCAATGTCGCACGCGTTAGGAGCCTGTGGCTCATACCGCATTCGACGGGACCGGCAGTCTTGCAGACTCTCGTCCTGCTCCAAGGCGCTGGTCTCTTGCTCGCAGAGTCTCTTGGAAAGAAAAAAGCCTTGAGGTTCCCCGAAAAGTTTCACTCTTCTGGTCCGGAGCCATTTACCGGATTCTGGAATCTCGTCGGTTTTTCTTGGCTCCTTGGGACCCTGAGGCGCGGGTATCGTAGCATCCTCTCCGTCGACGATCTCCCAGACCTTGACTACCGCCTCGACTCGGAGGCTCTGCAAGAAAAGCTGGCTCGTACCTGGTCCAAGTGTAAGTCAAACCCCTGAATTTGTTTTGGACAAGAAGCAGCATTGCTCACTTGCCTCACTACAGATGACAAGACTCAGAAACGCAGTCTACTGATGGCATGCTTCCGCGCCTATGCCACTTCTTTCCTGTCGGCAATCATCCCGCGCCTCATCTTAAGCGCCCTTAAGTTCACACAGCCCTTCATGATCACCAAGCTCATCCACTTCGTGGGCGACAAGGGCGTGCCAGACGACTTTGGCCGAGGCCTGATAGGTGCCTATGCACTCGTATATCTCGGCATGGCTGTAAGAAAGCTGCAATTTCTCGTACGCGAGTCCTAAATTGAGCTGACTACTATAGGCATCGGCGGCGCTATACGGGTACATGACGTTTCGATTCCTCATCCGTCTGAGGGGTGGCCTCATAGCCCTCATCTACCAGCAAACCGTCGAGGCGCGAGCCGTTGACCTCGGCAGCATCAACGGTCTCACCCTCATGGGTACCGACGTGGAGCGCATCGTCCTTAACTTTCAGACAATACACGAGGTCTGGGCATCGCTCGTAGACATTGCCATTGCCATCTTCTTGCTGCAGAGGCAGATGTTTCTCGCATGCCTTGTCCCGGGAGGCGTTACTTTCAGTGAGATCTCTACTTCCGTCATTGATGTTTGGTGCCATTTCGTGCTAACATATTGCCTTGTAGTATTCGCGCTGGCCACATTCAAGTTTTCGGCCTGGGCCAAGGCCGCTCAACGAGTGTGGATTGAAAACGTCGAAAGGCGACTGGGCGTCACCACTGTCATGATTGGGGCCATGAGGACCGTGAAAATGCTTGGGCTCAGCGGAAAGATGTCCAACATCATCAGCAACTTTCGCACAGTCGAAATCGACAGCTCCTCGAGATACCGCAAGATTCTCATCGGCATCATCTTCTTCTGTGAGTTCTAAACGACAACGTCCCCAATCAAATACATACAAGTTGTAACTGACCCTTCCCGTGTACAGCCGTCTTGCCGCAGAACCTCGCACCGATGCTCACATTTGCCGTATTTTACGCCATAGCTACCGCGAGGGATGGCAACTCGATTCTTGCAGGACAGGCATTCGCATCACTCTCTCTCATCGCTCTTGTCACATTGCCAGCTCTGACCTTTATAAGAGCCATCCCGGCCCTCATCCAGTGCTTTAGCAGCTTTGACCGGATTCAAGAGTACTGCAGCCAGCCTGTTCGACCTTGTCATCTACCGGAGAACCCCAGCTCTCACCAAGCACCGTTGGTAAACGACAAGACAGGATCCGAAGTGGAAATGGCCACAATGCAGCCGAGTGGTCTTCAGACAACCGTCGACCAGCCCCTTGTCCGTTTCCGCGACCAGGATATTGCATGGGAAAAAGCTGGTCCTGCCATCCTCAAAACCCTTAGAGCTAACATCTATGGACGGCGCTTCACGGTCGTCCTCGGACCGACGGGGAGCGGCAAATCGACTCTGTTGGAAAGTTTACTTGACGAGACAGTCTCATTGGGCGGTGATACTGACCGACGCTTCTCCACGGCTGCATACTGTGCCCAGGTGCCATGGTTGATCAATGGCAGCGTCCGAGACAACATTGTGGCTGACGCCTCGGGCCTAGTGGATGAAAAGTGGTACGCGACAGTTCTTTGGGCCTGTGGACTGGAGAGCGACATTGCCACTCTAGGACAAAGAGATCGCACTCTAGTTGGGAACGGCGGCAGCAATTTGAGCGGTGGTCAAAGGCAGCGCGTCGTGAGTGACAAGAACCTGTGGCTGATATCAGTCGTTGAATCAGTATCTAATCTGCATACACATAGTCTCTGGCGCGGGCCATCTATTCGAGGAAGAAGCTTATCCTCCTAGACGACGTCTTTAGCGGCGTCGACGCCCGCAACACTGCACTTATATCGGAACGGCTTCTGGGACGTCAGGGACTTCTTCGCAGAAGCCTGACTACTGTAGTGCTCGTTACTCATGCCCGTAAGTGGGCATTCCGTCTCAAGCGACAGGGAAACAGGCCTCAACTGACAATCGTGTAGCGCCCCTCATATCCCTTGCTGATGATGTCATTGTTGTGGAGAACGGCACTATCACCGAGTTTGGTAGCATAGACCTATTGAGAGCGTCGGACGGATATGTCGCCGGCCTCCAACTCAAGTCGCCATCAGAGTCGGATGGGATTGAGACATCTTCATCCGACGAGGGGCCTTCGCACCCCGCGAAAAATGCTGCCGCAACTGCCGCAGAAGCGCTCATGGAGCTCAACGAGGAAGAGCAGGATTTGAAGCGTCAGACTGGTGACTTTTCCGTCTACAGCTATTATTCCAGAGCTGGGGGTCATGGGACTGTCGCCACGATGCTGATCCTGGTGGCTTTGTGGGTGTTTTGCACCGAATTCTCCGGTGCGTTTGCTTGAAAATTGACCCTAGTGGCTGGTACCGATCACAATGCTTACATTCACAACGCGTAGTCGTCATCGTCGATTGGTGGTCCGCCGCCAATGCAAAGAGTCACGGCCGTAGCAATGATGGGCAGTACCTAGGCGTATATGTCGGGCTGGGCTTCCTCGGAGCAGGCTTCTTGCTCACTGAGTTGTGGTCAGTCCACTGTTCAAAGGGGTCGACAAAGTATCACAACATGACTTACCCCTTTAGGCTCATATTCGTCACCATCATATCTAGAACCGCTAAGCATCTCCATGAAGATCTTCTTAAGACGATAATGAGGTGAGTCGAAACAAAACAAAACACCTAGGGACCAGAAACTGACTCGATCACTAGCGCCCCCTTGCGCTTCTTTCAGGAAACTGACGTTGGCTCTATCACCAACCGGCAAGTTGAAAGGTATTCCTTGCTCGTTACCACGACTAACATCTTGAAGCTTCAGTCAGGATATGGAGCTAATCGGCCTAGATCTTCCCACTATCGCTGCCAATTACATTATCGGTGAGTCTGATATGCCCAACTGGTCGTGTACAGAGTGGCCTAGACACCGGCTAAGGGAATCAAAGCTCTATACGAATGCGTCGCCAAGGTCATCCTTCTCGCCGTCTTTGCCAAGTACCTATCCGCGACGCTGCCTTTGATTGCGGGAAGCGTCTTCTTCGTGCAGCGGTTTTACCTGCGGACGTCTCGCCAGGTGCGACTACTTGACATTGAGGCAAAAGGCCCCGTGTATCTGCACTTTCTCGAGACGACTAACGGCGCCAACACGATCCGCGCATTCGGATGGCAACGTGCATTCAGGCAGAAGCTCCATGCTCTGCTCGACCGGTCCCAGAAACCAGTGTACCTCCTCTATTGCATTCAACAATGGCTTGCCCTGGCATTGGATCTCATCGTGGCAGTACTCGCGGCCGTTCTTGTTACCATTCTGGTGGTTTGGAGGGACTCATTCGATCCCGGATCCGTCGGCGTCTCGCTCGTCACGGTAATGACTTTCAACCAAGTCCTGGCCCTCCTCGTCAAATCCTGGACCGCGCTCGAGACTTCGATCGGTGCAGTCGGAAGGGTCAAGTCCTTTGTAGAGAAGACGACATCGGAGGAAACAGAGTTAGGAATACGCCAGCCTCTAGTTGGGCCTGGCAACTGGCCGGCGAGAGGTGCAATTTGCTTTCAGAACGTAACGGCAGCCTACAAGTACGTGGCCTTGTGCAGCTAATGGCTTCTTCGTGACTGACTTGATCGTAGACCTGGCGGTCACCCGGTCCTAAGAAATCTTTCCATTGCCATCGCCGCTGGTGAGAAGGTGGCGATTTGTGGGCGTTCCGGTAGCGGAAAGACGTCGTTCGTATTGAGCTTGCTTCATATGATCAACTTCACCGGTTCCATCTCAATAGACGGCGTAGAGACTCAGAGCTTGATCCCATCGGATCTCCGTTCGCGCATCAACGTTGTGCCGCAGGAGCCTTTTCTGATGCCTGGGTCGATACGGTTCAACATCGACCCGCTAGGTCAAGTACAAGACGAGGCCATAGTCTCGACCCTGCGACGCCTGAAGATCTGGGATAGAGTAATGGATTGTGGTGGTCTTGATGCGCAGACGTCACTATCCTTGTGGTCTGTGGGAGAGAGGCAGCTGTTGTGTTTGGCGAGGGCCATGGTTCGGAAAAGTCAGATCTTGATTCTTGACGAGGCTACAAGCAGGTAAGTTTGGAGAATTCTAACCCGTCTTAGCATGCTGGTGAGCTTTGACTGACCCAAACCGAAGCGTCGATGCTTTGACGGAGTCTGTAATGCAGGATGTCCTCGACAGCGACGTCTCCACCCAAACTGTTCTGGCCGTCGTCCATCGGCTGCGATACATTGAAAGATTCGACAAAGTTGCAGTCCTAGACGGAGGTGTACTCGTCGAGTTTGACAAGCCTAGCACACTGTTGGCGGGAACGTCACTGCTGGCTGACATGTACAAGGCCGGACAGCAAGATAGAAACTCGAAGTAGACAGCACTACTTCGATGAAAACGCGTTACTACGCCGTGCGTTTATCCAAGTTGTGAGCGCAGCAATTGAAGCGACTAAACATTTGGTACGCCAGGTAGAAACCCTTAAGAGTTTGCAAATGCCGCCCCGAGACTCACGTTGTATGGGCTCCCGCACCCAACCGCCACATTGTCGTCTGCAGCTTGATGCTCCATCGTGAAGTTGTATGCGCAGTTCTCGTTTCCACCATCAATACCGCCGATCTCCAAAGACAAGGATCTTCACTCATCGTGCCATCGCTCTCCACGATCAACTGCGAGAGTCCAAAGCCTTGGCGAAATGATGGATCGGCGATCTGTCGTCCTTCTCCTCTCCTTGTCCATTTCACACCAGGGGGCCTTAGGCGAGCAGCTACTAGTTACTAGCCCTTTCCCCGTATAGCACGCGCCGGGGAACATGTCTCTCATTCCGCGGTCGATCATTCGGGTCTTTCCGCAAGCTAATTTAACGCAAACTTTTGGGGAGGTAATTCGAATGTTTACTAGCCCAATCATAGATGGTTCTACTATCGCAACTGAAATTCCCTCACCAAATGCGTTACGGAGACGGATGTGGCGTTTTGACAAGTGGCATGACTACCGCGCTACTTGGGTATACGTGGTGAAATATTATTGGTGCATGGTTTTATGCTGGATAAGGCATCAAGGGCGGGGCTCTCTCGATGAGAGACAAACAAGTGCGCCCTTGGTAAACTTTTGAGAGGCGAACGAGTGGGCATATAACAATCTTTGCTCTAGAGGATGGGCCGTTAGATCTATACTGCATGCTGTAGCGGAAGAGCGGCCCCACTCACGGCCACGAGACTTAAAGGTTGGTCCACTTACCGCAGTTGAGTGGAGAAATATGCTGACATCTCTGCGAAATATAACTCATTATCACGCCGAAACATCTAATTCCATACAAGTACGCTTTGCATGCTGTAAAGAAATGGATGATTTCATGCCCGAATTGCATCCTCCGGAGACACCTGACTATTACGCGGATCTTGGGCTGCAACAAACAGCAACATTCCCAGAAATAAAACGGGCATTTTATTTGCTTGCTAAAAAGCATCACCCGGACAAACAAGGTCCAGGAGTGTGCGTTGATGCACACGAATTCCGCAAGGTAAGTCTGGTAATTGCTCTACGGTTGTCTCGCTGAATGGATATACTGTTACGCATTAGATTAGAGCTGCATTCGAGTTTCTTCGGGATCCTTCTAATCGCTGTACATATGACATACATTACCCGCAGTTGCGGCAAGCATGGGATCAATACTACGCATGGCAAGAGATTGAACTGCGAAACGAAGAGCGTCGACGAGCCGAAGAGATAGCACGACAAAGAAGAGCAGCGGAGCTTGAGAGGGCACGTAAGGAGGAGGAGGAGCAACGAATAGCAAGAGAAAAGGCAGCAGAGGAAAAGGAGGCGCGCAGGAGGGCTGAAGAGCGACTTGCCAGAGAGAAAGAAGAACGCGAGAGAACAAGAAAATTGAAGGAAGCACTGGCGGAGGAAAGATCACAGGAGGCAGCGCGAAGAGCTAGGGAACAACAAGAAAATGCAGCCAGAGAGCGGCTGCGCAGAGAGAAGCAAAGGGAGGCGGACCGAAAGTCCGAAGATGCCGCTAGGAGGGCCAGGCAAGAGCAAGAGGCCGCTGCAGAAGAGAGACTAAAGGCTATGGTGAGAGAAGAAAAGCTTGACGCTATTCGGGAGAATTGGGCGAGAATGCGAGACGCCGCTGATCTGCGACGAGCAAGGCCAGCGCAACCTGAGGCTCACGATCTTAGAGAATGCGACCATCATCACATAGGCTGGACACGGAGGAAAGGAAGAGTAGATTGTGTCTTTTGTAGAAAGTCCTGTAAAAAGTTTTTCTTTAAATGCCCTCAGTGCGATATTTCGGCCTGTCAAGCATGCAAGATTGGGTACTGTAAGTAGGTGAATATTCTGCATTAGTAGGTGTTGCAGGCTGGTAGGCCCCGCGCCGACATGCGGTCAGGGAAACTCCACAGAAAAGCGCCCCTTTCCGCGATTAACTATTAGATGTTACTATCTTGCAATTAGGGGGCTCATTCTGCTTCTTTCCGTTCAACGAGCATCCTGATTCGATTTATGCGCGGTAAGAATTTGGAAGGAATACGAGACGTAGATCTGGCAATAGCGTAGAGCGTAAAACAACGGGACGAAAAATAGAAGAGAAATACGCCATGACTGTAAAAAGTGACACCGCCGCCACACACTGAAACAACTAAACAACCGAAAACCTGACATGGCATTTGCTCCTGCTCATCACAGCCGCAACCTGGACCACTATCCAACGCAAACACTAACACCGCGCTGGCAAAAAATCCAACAGTGGACTCTATAATGAACAGCGCCTGGCTAACATATTGTGGAAGGCGCGAGCCGAAGTGTCGGTCCGCGATGCGTAGAAGAGAGCGCTGAGGCGCAGGCCTCGCCACGACGGCCAGTCTTTGTGCGCACCAATTCCCTATTGTAGAGCCCTAGAGACGTATACACAGCCAAAGGCAGGATGGCGACAACGTTCAGCGTACGTTGCAGCTCAAGTTCGTTTCTTCAACACTCGTCTGAGGGTGCTCTGCGCTTTCTTTGCGATGTAACCCTCCTTCGATGAGGACACCTTTGTCGGCCCTAACTTTGAGGCACAATTGCTGGTCCGTTGTTCATCTGACGCGTCTTCTTCGACCGGCGGAAAAACTTTCTTCCAAGTGTAATCGATCATGTTCCATTCGTCACTTTTTGCGCTCTTCTTGGTAAGGAGCTCTGTTAGCTCAATTACTTTGGGTATCGCCTCTTTTTCTGCGACTGTAAGGCTCCGCTACTCTTCGAAAAGGTAGCCAAACTTGACAGATATGTGCCTGAGACCACTTTCTCTAATATTGAACGCCTGGTAAGAAGCATTCGGGTCCGCTCCATGTAAAACGAGGACTTGGAGTGCTGTAACGTAGTGTAATAGGTCATCCTGTAGGAATCCATTACTTACTTCGTTTTTCTAATCGCGCTCTAGGCACCATTGCCATGGGCTGAATCCATGAAACTTTTGCTGGGGTCCGCGCCATATTCGACCAGGGTCTGTACAATCTCAGGGAGAATGCAGCTAGAAGCTGGGTCGCAGGCGTACAAGAGCAAGCGACTTCCCTTCTCGCGTAGATATTTCTCCCCGAGCTTGCGGATTTTACATTGAACGTACAATGCAAGCCCGTGTGTAACTGCAATGGCAAGGGGGGTGTTCATGAGATGAACAATATCAGGTTCGTGCTGGGTTGGTTTGTTCATTTCTCGTAACATCTTTATCGATTGAAGCGATCGATGGTGTTTGGCCATGGTTTTGCCCAGCTCGTCCAGGAATTCCTCGGCCGGCGCTTGGTGGACATCTCAGCCGAGCGCGCACAATGCATGGCACTGTCGACAAGATCGTACAGACTCAAGATGGACCACTCAAAATCCGCTTTTGTGATCATAGAGGACCGCACTGGTACCTCCGCGTACTTAATCCTCATGACTAAAGACTGTACAAGTGACATATAAGGATTGAAGCTTGGTTCCTTTATGTGGTCGATAATTGCACTTTAAACGTCGTTTTAGCCTAGAAAGTCTGCAACAGTCCTATGCAGGTACGTAACAAAAAATTCCTGTTCTGTATCTTTATTAGATTCTTCTATTTAACGCCGAATTTCTAATAGACCTATGCAGCGGCTTCTAAGCCTCCCTTCTATTTTCTTCTCTCTTCGTTGGCGCTCCGAGGGAGAAAGCGGTGCAACGTCGGCTCTTAGGATTGTATTAACGTCCATTTCCGCAAAAAAAAGGCCCATGGCGGTGAGATTTACAGAGGCATCATGAGGTCCCTAGATCGTAGAAGGTATCTAGTCCGGGCTCTTTGTACTCAGCTGGCACCTTGTCCAATATATGCCTAAATAGCTCCTTAAGATCGCGTAGGAGATCCCAAAGTCGTCGCTGCAGATTATTAATAGCGTTATAATTGTAGAACTCCTTAAGAAGCGGGCGCGCGACGAGCTTTACCTAAAGAAAAACCCCGAAAGCAGCTTCGACTATCTTAGCTATTAGAGCTTTAGTACCAGCAGCATCTTCTATAGAGAGCTTAGTAAAACAGAGGTGTCTCTATAATTTAGCGTTAACATATGTAGTAATATCCCTTTGTGTAAGCTTATAAAGGCGCAGCTTAGGCTAGTTTACAAAAGCAGATTCGAATTTAGGAATTAGCCTGCTTAACACTAGTGCTTTTAAATACGAAGAATAGATAGCTACTATAAAAACATCTACTAGGTCTATTATAGTAGTAGCGTAGTTCGCGTTAAATTTATCTAGGCTATTAATAAGTAGAACTACTTTATATAATCTATTAAGACCTTTAATTAGTTAGCTAAAAGCTCGCCGTAGCTCGTAGAAGATAAACTTAATTATCTTAGTGCTAAAGTAGTATTATTTAGAAAAAAGTGTTAGTTCTAGTAATAGTTTCTATTCTAGCGCTCTAAATAGTAGTAACTAGAAAAGTTCTTCTTAGAATTTCTAGAGATCTAATCTAGCGTTCTAGAAGAAGAAACTAAGAGTTAGAAGAGAACTACTTACCTAAGACTTAAGCTTTTTTATAAATTACTAGTTCTAGTATAAGAATTTTATTAATATACTTTTTCTAGACTTAGTCTTACTACTAAGCTAATAGATTCTAGAACCTTCTTAAAGCTATATTATAAGATTTATATAGAATATATTCTTATATTTATTAAGAATCTAGTAAAAGGTTTATTAGTAAGTATTATCTATATTATTATAATAATTATTCTTCTACACGTACTAAAGGTTTTTTCTAAGTTAGTTATAGACTTCTTAAAAGACTTCTTAAAAGCTAGTACTTATATTTGTAAGTTTTAAGATAGCTTCTAAAAGCTACTCGTACTATTTAGAGGCTAACATCTTACTAACCTTTTACTTTTTAAGAAGTTTATCTATCTATATTAATAGAGTAGCTTTTAAATTTACTCTACCTTTATATATAAACCTAGTAATTTCTCTAGTTATATTATCTAGAGTCTAGAGATTCTCTTTTCTAGAAAAAATAAATATAACGTACTTTATAAGTAAACTAACTATATAAGTAAGCTAACTACTTTTACTAAGCCTCTACTAAAAATTATTTTAACTACTATAAGTCTAGCTACTTACGTAGAATTATTCTTTTATAAAGCTAGAATATAGCTTACTCTTTTCGCTCTCTAGACTAGCTAAATCTAGAGCGAATAACGCGCTATAGCTATATATAGAGTCTACTAATTAACGCTAAAGAACTAATATAATAGAGTAACTAAAAGGCGTAAAAAGATATCTAATTTAATAAAGCTTACTATAAATAAAGAGTAGGTAATAATTAACTATATACTTAACCTAGACGCGTAAGAATTTACTCTCTATCTTACTACTATTTAAGATATAGCTAATTAGCTACTTACTAAGTAGAGAGAAAAGGTTATAGATAAGAACTAGCTAAATAACTTTATTAAGCGCTATTCTAAGCTTAAAACGTAGCTTAATTACAAGTATAACTATTAGAGAGTAAAGTAAGAAGATTCTATAATTATTTAGACGTAGTTTAACCTAGTAGGTAATATAAAGGTAAAATATAGTATTACTAATAAAGATACGTATAACTTTAATAAATCTAGCTTTATAATAGAAATAATATTACCTTAGGTAGTAGTTACTAGCTCTAAGAGATAATTATAACTAAAAAGCCTTTAACTAGGTAATTATAAGTAGATTTTAGTAATTATAATAGTAAGAGTAGTAGATAATATATAGGTTCTACTATTTCTTATTATTATAAGTAAGAACTACCTCTTAGCGTAGTATAAGAGTAGCTAGCTACTATATAACTAGGTTATAGCTATCTCTAAAAGTAGCTAGATAATAAATAAAGTTAGTATTATGTAGTTAAAGTACTTTAATACGTATACTAAAAGTTATATTATAGATATATATTATCTACTAATTTTAGATAACTATAAAAGCTATAGCTCTATTAAATTCTAGTAGTACTATAAGAAGAATAAAATTATAGCTTTTTATATACTAGTATATTTATTATACCTTCTATAGCTACTTAATATTAGCTACTTCTTACTATTAAAGGTAGTATATAGCTACTAAGTTAAAATTCTAATATATAGCTATATTAACTATATTATAAAAACTAAGTTTTTACCTATATTTTATATAGCTTTTTACGTATTAATTATAGATAATAATATTAGAGTAGAATTTAGAGGCGCTAGCTTAGTTCTATTTAATCTAGATTTAGTAGTATTAAAGCTTAAAGTTTAATTACGCACGCTAATACTCTCTACTACTAATACTACTACCTAGAAGTATAAAACACCTAGTAATCTTATTAAAGTAAGGTTCTAATTAACTCTAATTTAATTAAAGATTATATAGCACCTTAATTTATTACTAACTTATATTATTAAGTTACTTAATTAGCTTAAGAAAGATAATAAGCTAATAGCGTATTAGCTAGTACTTATAGAGTCTAAAGTTACCTAGCTTTAAGTAGCTAATATATAGAAAAAGAAGTATAATTCGCGTAAAAGAAAGTAAATTTAGAAAGAGAATACTCTTATAATTAAAGCTAGCTTATAGCTAGTTACTTAAAAAGAGACTATAGATTAGAATAAGAGTAAGAAGTAGCGTAAAGAGGTAGTAGTACGTAATAGCTAGCTAGCTTAGTAACGCTATAGACGCTATAGTAAGCTAGAGTATAACGCGTAAACGTGCTAGGTAGTTAAAGATAATATAGATAAGTTAGATAGCTTATCTAGATTTATCTTAAGTAGCTTAGAGTTAGAGTAATCTAACTAAGATAGTAGCTTTTTAGTAGAGGCTTAGTAAAAGTAGTTAGCTTACTTATATAGTTAGTTTACTTATAAAGTACGTTATAGAATTATAATTCTCTATAAATTCTATTAAGGCGCTTTATAGTTTTCTTAATCTTAGCCTTAGTTTATATAGTTTTATTAGCTTTAAGAAAGCTTCTATATCTATATCTTAAATAATTACTATTTAATTAAATAGTAGAGAGTATATTAAT